GACACAGTCCATTTTATTTCTGTGTATTACATCTGGGAAATCCGTGTGGATAGTCACCTTTTGTATGGTTGGAAAAAGCATGAGTTTTGCAAAATTCTGCCATGTGATTTCCATCTTCATTTCTATCGCCACGTCCATATTTTCCAACTTCTGTTCCTTCCTCTTTGTTTCCAATTTTTGCATTCCAATCACCAATAACTATCAATGCATCCTGATTGCATGCTTGATCAATTTTCAACGGAAGTCTTTGGTAGATTTCTTCCTCACTAGCTTTTGTGGTTGGAGCACCCCTTTGAATACTAGTTGTGTTGATTGAATTTCCTTGAAGGGGGATAGAAGTAACCCTGTCTCAGACAGCATCATATTTCTGGACGGGTCTAGCTAGATCCTTTCTGGCAATGAATGCCATGCCGTTTCTCCTGATTGTGTGATTGTCAGCCCAGTAAATCATGACTTTCTGATCCAAAATGGCCAATACCCATCCATTTCAGCTCACTAATGATTAGTACATTGATCTTCATGGGTTCCATTTCATTTTAGACTCCTTCCAATTTTCCTAAATTTGTACATGGCACGTTCCAAGTTCGAATCATTAGAGGATGTTTGCAGCTGTTTCTCTACCTTGAGTCGTGCCCCACCAGCCAATGACGGTCCTGGAGGCGCTACCCCCACAGGCTAGACCCGACTTATGTCACTATGGTCAGACTAGTGGTGGACTTCCTGCTACACTGTCTTCTCTTTGCTTGGTTATAGTACTCTTTCATGCCCAGAGGCATAATAACTATTGAGCCACTTTAGAATCTAAGTTCTGTTGTAAATAATACGGCCACCAAGGGAGGATGCTTTACAGCAGGCCTGCGCTACCCTTGGCCACACCTCAGATTCTGTGCTAGTTCCTTTTCTCATTGCAAAAATTTGAATTGGTGATCATTTTTATTTAATATCAGCCAAAATGCTACACTGTGCCTCCATTCACCGATGATCCTCTCAGTGTGTGCGATTTCCTAGGAACCCCCGCCCCCTGCCGTGGAGGGGACCCTGGCTCAGAGAGGAGCCCCTGGAGAGCCGAGCAGATCTGCCGCTCAGGGTTTCCACAGCTGAAAGTCTTCGTCGGAGCAGTCTCATCTTCCTCCCACGCAATGGCTGGTGGATTGGAACTGCCGGCCTTGAGGTTAGCAGCCCAGCACTTACCCCACGATGCCACAAGCCTGAATACTATGTCTCAGCTTTTCAGTAGTTGCAGCTGCCCGCGGTATCTTCCAACTTTAATGTGTCCTTTGCATTAATCATTGCAAATCATCAATGATTAACACTCAAGCACATTGTAGGATTAGTGGCATAGAGTTTGTAGGGAACGCAAATGAACTAAAACAATTCCAAGCAGTGGACACACATCTGAGAAAAATAAATGTAACAAGCTACAGACCACTGGGCACTTAGCAGTCTGAGATGCTCTCTGCAGCCTGAACGAATCTTCATCCAAAGCTGTGCTTCTTGTCCTAACGGGCCTACAAATGCACTGGAGGCCCGCAGGTTGGGATATTGACCCAGCCACTCAGTAGCTGTCTGGCCTTAAACAAGCAACTTATTATCTCTGAGCTTCCACTCGCTCATCTGTACAATGGAGGAAAGAATGCCTCTCTTGAATTATCCTAGGAGCCATGTCATACTGTGGGCTAGTGGTTCAAGCCCACCAGTTGCTCTGAAAGAGAAAGATGAGGCTGTCTGCCTCTGTAAAGATTTACAGTCTCAAAGCCCTAAGGAGCAGTACGACTGGGTCGTACAAGGTCACTGACTCCGAATCAACTCCAGGGCAGGCATGAAGCTCCCCGATACATGCCTGAGAGCAGGGCACATAGTCAGACACTGTCTGGGGTCAAACACACATTTTCACATGAGAGCTGCAAGGGCCAGGCATTTGTGCTTATTTTCTGTTCGTAGAAGAATTCTCTTTCATCAAAATCAGTTTCTAAATACTTTAATAAGCCCCATTTATAAATAGCTTCACTTCATGTCTCCCCCTATTTCTTTTCAATTTCTTGCTCTTTTAGCTCTGCCTCAGCCTCCCAGGTGCCTTCACTGAGGCAGTCAGTACCTTAGCCCAGAAAAATCACACAGAAAGGTATCTGTTCACACGAATTCTCATTTCCCCTCCACTAAGGGAGAGGGAAGATCTTTTGCATGAAAAAAATGAATCGGTCCCGGAATCAGTGGGTTGGATTTGAGGAAGGCAAACTCCTCCGTCACAGCCTTTAGATGCACAGAGAGGGGAGCTCACCCCCTACTGAACTCCCATCTGACCCTGCCTCTCCTTCGCTCCTCATCCTCATCCCCTGTCCTCCTCCCTCCCTCACCAGGGGCCAGTGCTGGTGCCTGTCCTGCCCTCTCCTGTGAGGACTTTGCATATGCTGTTCCCTCTGCCTAGAATTCTCATCCCTGATCTAGATTATTTATTCTAGCCATTCTCTAAGATTCAGCTTGGATTGCCTTTTCTAAAATTTCCATGGAGCCCTCCCCATGGATACTGAATCATTTGAATCTGGCATGGGATAGAGATTCGGAATTCACATCGCAGTCTGTGTGAATGGCACTCTCAGGAGGGCTCTGTGTACAACCTGCACAACTGAACCCAGTCCTCCCATACTTGGTTCCCCACCCTGCTTCGCCTATTTCAGTGTTTCCCTGAAATCTGACCTCCTAGACTACACACTCACTGATGCAGGTGGATAAGCGCTCCTGTGTTTCTTGGACCTGGCACACGCCAGCCATTCATTAAATGTTTGATTAATCGATTGATGAACAAGTGAACTCAGAAACTAATGAATACATTCCTGAGTTAAATGAAGGTGTGCCTGTGGAGGTGGAGGCTGGTAAATGGTAACAACTCTAAAGACAATAAGAACGAGAACAGAATGTATGCAGACATTGTTCATTCCCAATCAGAAATGGGGTTTTCCAGAAGAAAACACAGGGCAGGCATCTCTTTGGCTTCTCCTTGGAAGCCCCTGACATCCTGTTAATAGGTAGCTCACAGTGTGCAAGAGGATAAAGGAAATGCGATGGTAAAGATAGGCTTATAAGAATCAGGGAATCAGCTCAAACAGTGAAGCACTTGATTACGAACCAAAAGGTCCCTGGTTCAAATTCACGTAGAGGTGGCTTGGGAGAAAGACCTAGCAATTTGTTTCTGGAAGAGTCACCACCACGGAAAAGCCGATGGAATGCAATTCTGCTCTGAAACCCATGGTGTCACCCTGAGTGAGACTCAACTTGACTGTCACTGGTTTGGAGCTGTGTGTCTGTTTATCTGAATCAGTCACTGGGCTAGGACAATGGTAGACAAAGTTTGGTTTCTAATACCAACTTGGGCTTCATTAGCTCCCTTTAGGATTTGAGACAGAGTCAATACAGGTGCATCTCAGATCTAGAACCACTTTTATAAACGCTGCACAATGAATGTCTCTCCCTTCCTTTTGCTTATTGTCGAAAGTTCCAAAACTCGCTCTACTTCACATCCTAATTTTATTAGCATCGGTGCACCGTTACAGCAGAAATTTCCTCCAGGAAGCCAAAGATACGAATTCTAGGTTTAGAACATACTTATTATGGGTTGGATGGAAGCCTGCTATGCCTAGAGTCCTGACTCTGAAAGCCATCCTAGTAACCATCTAGTTAGAACTGTAACCACACTGAGTTATTGCTGGTCTCATAAGGATCAGATTCACCGTTAGCTTTTGCCTTAGACGAGAGGAGGTGTATGGACTCTGCTGTTGCCCATCAGGCCTTTCCATTTCATTGTGACTATTGTGCTCAGAAGCCTGGTTGCAATCTGTAATCCCAGTTAAATTCTTTCAACACAGCCCAGCCATTTAGGAGCAGAGCCTTCTTCGAAGCCAACCTGTTTGAAATGGACATCCATTATGCGCTATCTCTGTCTTCCAGGGCTACTGCATTCTATTCTAACTAGGGAGGAAGAGATCATTTTTTAATATGAATGGGCATTATATCCTAGCCTATTTTTTTCAACTGGAATAATAGAAGCTGAAGTTCTAGAAAGGTTTAGGACAAGTTTTAAAATGTGTGCACCCATTCAAGTGTCCTGTTGTATCCTCAGTGAATTTGTGTGCCCCCCCCCACACACACACACACACATCCTCTTATTTCTTTTACTCTTGCTATACTTAGAGGCAACTGTAACTCAGTATTGTAAAAGGGCCAGGTAATTTCATCAAGGGGTGAAGCGTTAAAAACTCTGAAAAGCAATACAGCCCTCCCGTTTAGATGCTCTCCAGCATGCAGGCTGCCAGCTGTCAGAGAAGACGCTTGGGTGGCGGTTTCTATACAGGAGGTGGGAATATTCTCCATCGGAGGCTTCGCAGAAAACGGAGAAGCAGAAACGCAGAGCTGTGAGAGCCCAAGGCAGGGGAGACGGAGTAAAGGTTGAGTTACTTCTGAGTCAGAGCCACAAGGGACACGAGTCTTAGCTGAGCTTTCCCAGCCATGATTGACACATTTTTCAAATACAGGGATAGAGCAGGCAAAGAGATGTTCTGAATTGATTTTCTCATCAGTCAAGCAAACAGAAACCCAGACTCGGAAAATGAGGGCAAAGGAGGAGGCCGTTGTGAGGCTTTTCTGATGGACACGTTAAAGTGTCCGACAGTATGAAGCGAGAAGTTCTTCCACGGTGAGGATGACGTTCTACAAAGCATAGATCGGTGAGTACATCAAGTTCCTAAGGTTCACTTGACTTCACATTTACCTTGAGTGGAGAGTCTGCGTATCTGTCCCTTCGGATGTGATTATGTAGAAACCACGGCTAACGAGAAGAGAGGGAGAATGAGGTCGGTACGCCAGAAAGGCTGCCGTGCTGAAGGAAGTGACTGATATCCTTTATTTCTAGCAGCCTGATGGTTCTTACATTTTCGTTCTGTTTATTTCAAGACGTGAAAATGGCCAAATAAGCCTGAAAAACTGTGCTTCTTCTTCTTTTTTTCCAGAGTGCAGAGGACGATTTTTGAGGCATGGGAATAGAAGACCATAGATTGGATTTGAGGCTCCAGAGCGTAGATTGATATGAACAATCCCACACTCACACTTCTCTGCCGAACTGAAAGATCTCCTAGTAATATGCCGCCTTTGCAAGAACAAAAGAAGCTAGTACCAGAAAGGCATCCTATTCAATATCTGGAGTAGACGTGCTGTCAAGACAATGGCTTCCAAGGTCTCCTGTTTATATGTTTTGACAGTTGTGTGCTGGGCCAGCGCTCTTTGGTACTTGAGTGTAACTCGACCTACTTCATCCTACACTGGTTCCAAGCCATTCAGCCACCTAACTGTTGCCCGAAAAAACCTCACCTTTGGCAACATAAGAACTCGACCCATAAACCCACATTCATTTGACTTTCTTATCAACGAGCCCAACAAATGTGAGAAAAGCATTCCTTTCTTGGTTATCCTCATCAGCACTACCCACAAGGAGTTCGATGCCCGCCAGGCAATCCGAGAGACGTGGGGCGATGAGAACAACTTTAAAGGGATCAAGATCGCCACACTCTTCCTCTTGGGCAAGAACGCAGATCCTGTGTTAAATCAGATGGTAGAGCAGGAGAGCCAAATCTTCCATGATATTATCGTGGAGGATTTTATTGACTCCTACCATAATCTTACCCTCAAAACATTAATGGGGATGAGATGGGTGGCCACTTTTTGTTCAAAAGCCAAGTACGTCATGAAAACGGACAGTGACATTTTTGTAAACATGGATAACCTTATTTATAAACTACTGAAGCCCACCACCAAACCAAGGAGAAGATATTTTACTGGCTATGTCATCAATGGAGGGCCAATCCGGGACGTCCGTAGTAAGTGGTACATGCCCAGGGATTTGTACCCCGACAGTAACTACCCACCATTCTGTTCGGGGACTGGCTATATCTTTTCAGCTGATGTGGCTGAACTCATTTACAAGACCTCCCTCCACACACGGCTGCTTCACCTTGAAGACGTATATGTGGGACTGTGTCTTAGGAAGTTGGGCATACATCCTTTCCAGAACAGTGGCTTCAATCACTGGAAGATGGCCTATAGCTTGTGTAGGTATCGCCGAGTTATTACTGTGCATCAGATCTCTCCAGAAGAAATGCACAGAATCTGGAATGACATGTCAAGCAAGAAACATCTTCGATGTTAGGATTTTTACCAATGTAAATACACTTCTTTTCTTTTTTAAGAATTGGGGCCTAGGATGTTGGTATTTTACAAGTGTCACTGGAGGAAATGAACAAGAGAAGGGGTTTTGTAAAAAGTGCTTTTTTCCCACTCTTAGTACCTGTCTTTGATTACCAGTTTGCAAATGCTGGGCTCGACTCAGAAACAACACGAGGTACAAGGGCCAAGTATTCTCAGGGCCCCACAGGATTACCATTTTTCTCATAAGGCAAGTTTCAAGCAACTCTTAGGATTTACATAATCAGATGCTGAACTTCTCATCTTTTTTTTTTAATTTGGATCTGAGAAACTGAAACTTACAGTAGGGTCTTCGTATCATTTTTGCAAGAAATTTTTAAAAGGGAGAAAGTAAGGATTCTTTTTAAATGTGAGAATGATACACAGTCAGGAAGACACTCTGGATGTGATTGTTAATAGTGTGTGTTATTTTCGCATTTTACAGGTAGTGCCATGTAATATGTGCAGTATTAGCACTTCCACCAAGAAATAAACTTAGTATTGGTGGGAAGGCTGCAGTTAAATAGATGGAAATTTAAACTTGAGAATCAAATCTTCTTTATATTTGGGAGACAGCTCTGCTTGCTCATCCAAGAATTAAATGTAGTCAGCAGGTAGAATGTATATACAATGCTACTTAAGAAGGAAACGAGAGTTTGAGAGGGTTTTTGTTTGGGGGTTCGGGGGCTTTTTGTTATTGTTGTTTTGAGTCCTTTCAGAAAAACATCTCATGGTGCCTCCACAGAGACTCTGTCAAATATAATCTCACCTGCTTCTCTCCACACAGCATCGATCAGTGCATTTCACAGATTCCGGAACATACAGGTTCTTGTTTCCATGTGTAGAAAACAAGTGGGTAGGAAGCCAAAATAAGACGAGCTCATACTAAGAAAAAAATACAAAATTAGGTACGCATTATAATTCACATAAGCTTACCAATAGTGTCACATGTCCTCCTCAAATACATTTGCAAAGCAATAGAGAAAGTCATTAACACTTTTATGGCAAGGTTTGGCCCTATAGTTGATGGATATAAAACCCTTTGACATCTGAAATACCCAGGTACCTTTAGCAGCAAGGCTATCGTGAGGTGCTCTCGTCATCCTGTGATTGAGGTTCACGGGAAAGAGGGTGGAGAATCTTGGGGTCAGGTCCCATTCTTGCCTTTATACTTATTGGTCATGTGAGCAGGCATCTTAACATTGCTGTGCTTCAGTATGTTCAATCCTGAAGTGGGTGTAAGCAAACAAGCAAACAAAACTCACCTATCCCTCAGGTGCTAGGGGAGCAAATAGGATTTGCTAAATACTTTGAGATTCTTAGTTTAAAAGGTGCTACATAATGTGATGTGCCATGCATTATGCTATATGCTGAAGTGATTGCATAGCAACAACAATGGTTATCAGTGCACCGACTCCTCACTTATCTGACATTTCACACAGCTGTAGTGAAAAATCTACGAACCATTTCTCCCATTAACAGTGTTCAATGTACTTCTAGTAGTAACAAATGATGAGGTACAAGGTGAAAGTAACACTGTCCTTGATGACAGTGAAGATATTGTGTCAACCTGGCTGGCCCATAATTATCCATGTTTTGGCAGTTATGTAATAATGGTTTTGGCATTTAATTAATGATGAAATTTGGAAGTTACATAGTGATGAAATTTGACAGCTTGTAATTACGTAGTCATCCTCCATTTGTGATCTGATCTGATCTTCCACTTTTGTCTAACACCAATTTTCACTTAATGACCTGCTCTTGGGAACCAAATCATGTTGATAAGTGAGGAGTGGGTAGTAGCATGACTATAATATAAAATCTACCCAAATAACGATCAACTAGGACTCATTAATCAGTGTACTCGATCTTTTCAAAGCGTTGACTTTTCCTTGGATATAAATTAGGTATTGGGGAAAGCTTCATTTTCTAGGTCATTTTTTTCTGATTTCAATGAGTAAGTTATTCATCCTTGGGGAGGAGCTGCTGATTGAGGGAATATTTTAGCAACACTTGCTTTGCAAGATTCATATTACCAACTAGGTATTAGAAGGCATTTGACTTGCATCTGCTCTCAGAACTGTAAGGATAAACAGGGCTAGTCAGCAGAAGACAACACATTCCACAAATACATCAGTTCCCACGCCTTGTATCCATTTGTTTTCATTCAAAGAAAGCCTCACCACGAAGAGAGAGTAGACCTTCATTTTTTAACCTGACCCCCAGACACTCACAGAAAAATTCACAGAAAATATGTAGATGAGACCAATGAAAGGAACTCATGGTCTCTCACTTGAAAACATTACATCTCTCAACCCCAACCCAAAGAGCCCAATCATCAATAGAACGTTCCCTCTCTGGATACATCTTTATCTCAGGATCAGAGGGCTGCTGATTTTGATCCATTAGGTAACCACAATGCAAAAGGGAGCTACCCACCAGCCTCAACTGCCCTTGAGTTTTGATCATGGGAAAGTCCTGTGACTTTGTATATGGTTTACCTTTCAGCCTTGTGGCAGAGTCAAGCCTCTGTTGCATATTGACTCTTGTCTTGCTTCTGTACCATGCTCAGTCAGGTCACTTTTAGTATCAAAGCATTGTACACAATATGTGTGCATCTGTGAATTGTTTTACATGTGTGTGCACATGCATTTTGAATAGACCCCTAATCTTAAATAAGCGCATATGTCTTCCAGGATTATTTCCTGACTTCTTAAAGACTGTAGTGACAAATGTGACAAATATGTAAATATTCATCAGAGACCACATGTATATATTTTTAGGCATTTTTTTCTTTCTCCCCGGCTATATGTATAATTAGAACCTGCTTGCTGTGTATCATTTTCTTCTGCATGGAGTCTGGTGAAGCAAGGCCATTTGTCTGTGTTTCAATAGCCTTAAGCATGTTTGCCTTTGTTTTTTGAATGTTCAAAGAGATGTTTAAGTCCAATGATCAAGAAATAACTCTAATTTTCTACTTTTGTTAACTTTATGATAATTGTGTTTCAATTACGTGGATTTATCACTTCCATGCCATGAAATAACGTTGTGGACAGTATTCTACCAGACAACTTTGACAACTTTCTGACAGTCGCCCTCCTGTTTTGTTCATGACACACTGGATAACCATGGGTACCAATTATCAGTGTCTGGATACTCAGAGTTTCCTTTTTAACAGTTATCTTCAGAGGCCTAATTTGTGCAGCTTCGTGTCTTCTTCTATTGAAGCCAATGCCAATTTCAACACATAGTATCGTATTTTTAAATAAGCGGAATTTTCAGAAATGAAGAAAATAATTTTTGATTTGGATTAGATGCCGAAGAACAAAATCCCATCGTGTGATGTGAAACGGGGGAAATAAACTTCTCAGAGCAGCCAAGGAAGGAGGTTTTCAATTGAATCTCTTCTCTCAAAAGACAGTGGAATATTTGCATAAAGTGTCTGGGATTCATTTTCTATCTTTCCTAATCCGTGGGGTTAGTGGGGGAATTGATTATGTTATTTCTTCTGTAAAAGGTGGAGACAGTTTTTTATAAGCAAAAAAGTAACTTGTGAATGAAAGCAGTAATTGACTAGAAATGCTTGTTGATGATCATTGACATTTAGGTATACCCTTATATATGAATGACTGTATTTATGTATTTATTTGTCAAAACTGTACATACTGTTTCACCAAAAGTAACTGTCTGTACAAGTGCACTCTCCAGGTTTGTAGTACTCGTTAGGGTTTCATGGGTTGCCAAGTAAGCTGCTCACCAGAATACTATTTTTTGTATCAATGTCATAAAACGGAAAAATGACAAATAGATGCCGAGTATGTCTTTACAATTCAGTTTCTTCACCTTCCTCTTGAAATACCAAGTGTTGATTGACAGCACGATGCTCATGTATAGGCCCATCTGTCATGAGGAAGATGATGGCTCCGTAAAGCTGATTTTTTAAACTATCAGGACAAATAAACAAAAGGAGAACATATTTTCCATTGTTTTGGGTTTTGTGACTCTTTTCTAAGAATATCTTGGCTAAGAAATGAGCAATAAAATGAACAGATGCCCTGCTGTTTATCATTAACCGTCTCACCTCCTCCATGTAGATAATAGTTCAAGCTCCTCAGAACTGGCCAGCAAGAGCACCAAACAGCGTAGCCTCCCATTTAGAGACGACTTGGTCTAGTGGACCATGGACTACACCGAGATTTTGGCAATGCAGATATCTTGCTTGCCCGCTGCAGCTTCGGGTGTTTTAACCTAGCCCCTGGGTTAGATTCAAGGAGCGCGTGCAGCGTCTGTGGGTGGGCATTGGCCTGCTAACTGCAAAGTTGGCAATTCAAATCCACCAACTACTGAGTGGGACTAAGATGAGGTTATCTGCTCCCATGAAGATCACAGCCCACCACACACCCTGTCAGGTTGCTGTGAATCAGAATCAGCTCGACGGACAGTGCGACGAAAACAGCGTCTTCCTTGAAACACTTGTCTGCAGCCATCCGCGGGTGGAAGAGGCATGTTTAACCACAGGGGCTTTGGCAACAGCCCATGCACATATGAACAGGAACCCTTGTGACGTTGCCTTTTACTTGGCCCCTAATGTCTCTCAGGTGAGCTAACACACATGAATAAGCCCTGAATCTATCAAATACAGGTTTGCATTCAACATGACTGTGTGAAAGGTTCAACAGCAAGGGCAGGGTTCTAAAGGGACAATCAATCCCCTATCAGAGGCTTCAGCGCCATCTGGGGCTTTACTAGAAATGCCCGTTCAGGAGGTGCAATCTACTGTTTGAAACATTGTGAATTAGGTGAGGGCTTGCTGAACAGAGCATCCGTTGTACATTCAACAACACATAGACTTTTTGTTTCAACTCCTGCATTGCAATCCCCTCCATGGGCCACCCCTTATCCCACTTCCTTCCGGTCTCTGCTTGCCAGCCCTCCTTCTTTCCGAGCCCCCTGTACTATCAGGGTGCCATATACTTAACAAGCCCTCTTGAGGCTTTCGTCTTCCATAAAGAGTTACAGGCTCAGAAACCCACGGCGCCGGTTCTTCTCTGCCCCAGAGGAACAGGTTCGATGGCAGCGAGTTTGGTTTGGTGTGAAGCTAGTGGTCCGTGAGCACTAAAGTGTGGAAACACTGATCTCAAGCAGGAATGGGCAAACTACAGTTTGAGAATTTCATCCAATCCACCTCCTCTAAGCTCAGAATTGTTTTCCTAATGAACTTTGGCCATGGTTTGTTGACAAAGTACCTTAATAGTAAACGGCAACTAAGTAAACTGTCATATTCTCCCTCAGTCCAGTGTCACTTTTCTCATTCGTCCACCTGCATTGCAAATGCAACCCAGAATGACAAATGGGCATTATTTTATTTTCTCTTCAGTTCTATCTATTAAGAAGACTGGTGGAAATTTGTTTCATTTTGTTGTTGTTGTGTAGGACTTTTCTGTGGCTTCCATTTTGTGTTTCCATCTGCAAAGTCTACAATGCTTATTATCTGGTCCTTTGCAGCAAAAGGGTACTGGCCTCTGACCTCCAGAAAGCGACAGACCCCGTAGGTGCTACATGCAGATTTCTCCAGTTTTAAATGGATTGCACCGAGGAAGCAGCCAGGGGAAAGACAATGCAGTCCTGATCATGAATTGCGTTAAAAGCCGACAGCTGCATATATTTTAAAAATATTTCCTTTTTCTCTCTCAGAGTGATTTTTAAAAATTATAAAAGCATGATTCTAATTGTAACAATTATCCACAGCTTAATTAATATATTGCTTAAAGATGTTGGGTATTAGACCTAAGAGGGTGGGTTTCATATAGCTTGATTATCATAATTACAAGCATTTTATTTTCTCATTTACTTAATTGATTGTCATAGATTTCCACATGAATTCATGCGACTGGAAGAGAAGAGAATTTATTTTTGAAAGAGAGAGGAGGAGGAAAAAAACCAAACACAAAAACAGTGCTATTTAAAAGAGCAATGTGTCCCAGAATATAATCCATGTGAGCATGAAAAATTGCCCTTGATAGTATCTCCTTACCTCTATGCGGGTTAAACTGGGCATTTTCGTGCAATGAAAAAGTGTTATTGATTCAACCGCATCTATAATAACACCAGCTCCACTGTCTCTTCCGTCAGAGGTGTCGTGCACTGGAGAACATTTTTCCACCCAGTTCTCCTTGTAGAATCGATTCGTTTGGGACAGTATGTCAACTACTGGTTATGCCTCTTGCAATGACCTCAGTCCTCCCCTGGAGGGAACACGGCGTAAGAGGTGATTTATTCTCACTATGAGGTTTAGTCCAGAGGGTTTACTCAGCAGCGGCTGCCCTAGACAGCAGGTCGGGCAGAGTTGCGTGTGGAGGTTATGAGACGAAGACAATTTTTCAAGCGGACCAGGATAGCGACTGCGCGTGCGGGAAGGGGGGAGGAGGGGAGACCATCAGAGGCTTTCTTCCTTTGCCAAGCCCTTCCTTTGCCATGCCCATTCTTCGGTGGGGGGGGGGGCAGGCGGGAGGGGGGAGCTTGTTGAATAGTAACAACCACCCATGAGGTATTGCAGCTATGACATCCATTTGGAAAATAGAGAAACCGAAGCAGCAGAGACCTGCTTAATTGACAGCATAAGCCTGGCCCCTCTGGTTCTAAAGGTCATGCTCTTAACCAACGTAGCATGCTGCTTCCCACACATAAGGACATGTATGCCCACCACTCACACCCCCACCCCCCAAGCTCTAGCCTTTTGGAAACCAGTGTAGCTAATTTAATTTGTTGCTGTTGGCTTTCACTGAAATGCATCTTCCCCTTTTTAGTGGCGACAATTCATTGAGGCATACTTCTAAATGTATCCTTATCAATGTACAATTTGACAAATGCCTAACAGTTGGCAACCACCTCCATCATCTAAAGGTGTTCCATCACCCGCCCGATCCCTCAGCCCCCTGTGCGAGCAGCCTCTTTCCCCACGCCTCTGGCCATTGGTGACCTCTGTGCAGGTCTTTATTTGACATAAGATACTTCTGTTATTCAACAGCCATGCCACCATACAAGAAGGCTTTAAAATCTTCATGCAAATGCAGCATCGGCCCCCTTCACCAAAGGTTAAAAAAGAAAAAAGCTTATGAAAAATGGTGTTAAAAGATGAGAATTTTTCCCTCTGATAATGTACATATCGAGACATGGCTCTGAGCACCCTCACAGTGGCAACTTCATAAAAAGTCAAGGAAGAATCTGAAAGAGAACTAGAAAAAGAAAATAAGCAGGAGGAAAGTACAGGTGAAATATTTGGAAATTTTCCAATAAAGCGCCATTGATTTGCAAAAAGGCCAAGTTCCATGACTATTCATCAGAAGGTGGAAGTAGAAATCTGTAACTTCACTCACTTAGAGTCTAGCCCAGCTCACAAGAACCTTTAATAGACCCTCTCTCCTTCGAGCTCACACACACATGTTGATGTAGAGAGAGCAATCTATAAGTTCAAGTATACTTTTTTCCCTTCGTGGAAGCAAAGGGTCCTCTGGAGAGGCATCCATCAGCAGCTAGCTCATTAAAGAAGCAATCCCTCTCCGCACTCCAGGATTTGTCTCCACACCTGTCTCCAACCCAATCAGACATCCTTCTTCGTTGTCTCCCTGTGCTTCCTCTCCACTGGCCTCCTCCACATATACCAGGTCACATTTCTGTTAGGAAGAGATAACTTCACAACCACAAACTTCAAAACAGATCAATAGAAGCATCTGAACTCACTTGGAAAGTGTTTCACTTGCCACAATAGGCTCCTCAGCCCTAGTGGGAGTCAAAGCCATGGGCGGCGGGATAAGACGCTAAGGGAAAAGAAGGGACAGGACGAGGGACCTGGATTCTTTGTGCTCAGTTTGCAACGTGCACAGCAATTGCCTAGGCATCTTATTTAAATGCAGATTCTGGTTTATTAGTGCTGAGGTGCAACCCAAGTTTTCTTCATCAAAGCACCCAGCAATGCCAATGCGGCTGGTACACAGACTGCCCTTTGAGTACAAGACTGTAGTCTTCAAACTAGATTCTAGACCAGAGAACTAAAATTTAGTCAGGATCTAGTATGGGTTGTACTTTGGGACTCTTGACCATATTGCTCCCTGTTACTGTTGTTATCGTTAGGTGCCTTCAAATCATTCTAAGTCAAAGTGACCTGCTATGGACAGCAGAAGGGAACACTGTCTGGTCCTGTGTTATCCTCACAACGGTCATGTAAAAGCCCCTTGTGAAGCGTGCCGCGGTCTTCCTCTTTTTTGTTGGCCCTCTGCTTTACCAGGCTTGATGTCCTTTCCAGGGACTGGTCCCTCCTAATATCGTATTCAAAGTAGGTTAGATGAAATCTCACCCTCCTCACTTCTAAGGAGCCCTCTGGCTGTCCTTCCATTACAGTTTTGTCTGCTCTTCTAACCATCCATGGTACTTTAAATAGTCTTGGCTGGCACCATAATGCCAGCGCAACATTTCTCTGATTGCCCTTTTTCATTGTCCAACCGTTCACATGCTTCTAAATCAACACAAAAACTTGTTGGAACGTATTAAGGATTCAGATGGAGATTTGAGTCTCCAGAACATCTTACGTTAGACACTTATTATTTTGTATGTCCTCTATAGAGCTTTCTCTAAGAACTTAAGGAGACCTGGTGGTGCCATGGTAAATCATTCATCTGCTAGCCCAACGGTCGGCACTTTAAATTCACCCAACAGCTTGGCAGAAGAAAGGCCCGGTGCTCTACTCCCATGAAAATGACAAGCTAGAAAACCCCATCAGGAGGTTCTGCTCTGTCCCAGGAGCCGGCTCCGAGTTGCAATTGAGTCCACAACTAGGGCCCAGAGGAAGCACCCAGGCCCAAACCACAAAGACACCACATTCTCATCCTCCGGCTAAGTGCCTGAAACAGGGTTCAGGTTAAAACCAAGTTAAAGTTCATTATTTGAGTCAAAGTTAAAGTAGGACCTGATGCTCACCTT